AGAGAGAGAGAGAGAGAGAGAGAGAGAGAGAGAGAGAGAGAGACAGAGAGACAGAGAGACAGAGAGACAGAGAGACAGAGAGAGAGAGAGAGAGAGAGAGAGAGAGAGAGAGAGAGAGAGAGAGAGAGAGAGAGAGAGAGAGACAGAGACAGAGAGAGAGACAGAGAGAGACAGAGACAGAGAGAGAGACAGAGAGAGACAGAGACAGAGAGAGAGACAAAGAGAGACAGAGAGAGACAGAGAGAGAGACAAAGAGAGACAGAGAGAGACAGAGACAGAGAGACAGAGAGACAGAGAGACAGAGAGGCAGAGACAGAGAGACATAGACAGAGACAGAGAGACATAGACAGAGACAGAGAGACATAGACAGAGAGACAGAGACAGAAAGACAGAGACAGAGACAGAGAGAGACAGACAGACGAGAGAAAATCATTTCAGGGCAATGAGCTTACTTTAACCGGCGTTCTAGTGTTTAACTAGACACCAGACTTAACCCTCTTGGCCATGATAGGACAAAAAGCCTATCAACCCGGAACTTTTTTCCTCACGTGGCCAAGTGAGATAAGGAAATATTAATATTGTAATATTTAAGGACTTTTTACATAGTATTATTTTGTGCAGGAACCAGTTTAAAAAATATCATCGTCTAAATTATTTCCAGTTTTGCAAGACCGAAATGGCGACCGTCCCATCAGCTGACTCGAAGGTCATCACATTTTGTAACAGAGTGGGCTAAAGTCAAGTGTTAAAACCATACAACATCCCAGTTTGCCGACGAGTACACAGGCCTGACTCTGGGGGGAGGACCAGCGCTGCCACACCTATAAAATAAGCGCAAAATGTGTTGTATATCCAGAGGTATACAGAACAACGATGTGGCACCACAGGAATATAATACAAGCCTGCGAGGCCCGTCGGTATAGAAAACCATGTGTTTCTCTTTTTTTTATATATATATATATAAAACTAGTACTTAACAATGGTAACAAGTAAAATTATATCGTTTTCAAAGGTTACACTTTCAATGGTCATCAGAAACTATATATATATATATATATATATATATATATATATATATATATATATATATATATATATATATATATATATATATATATATATATATATATATATATATATATATATAATATATATATATATATATATATATATATATATATATATATATATATATATATATATATATATATATATATATATATATATATATATATATATATATATATATATATATATATATATATATATATATATATATATATATATATATATATATATATATATATATATATATATATATATATATAATGTTGTACCTAGTAGCCAGAATGCAGTACTCGGCCTACTATGCAAGGCCCGATTTGCCTAATAAGCCAAGTTTTCCTGAATTTATATATTTTTCTAATTTTTTTCTTATGAAATGATAAATCTGTCCATTTCATTATGTATGAGTTAATTTGTTTAAATTTGAGTTAAAACTAACGTAGATATATGACCGAACCTAACCAACCCTACCTAACCTAACCTAACCTATCTTAACCTAACCTAAACTAACATAACTAAGTCAATAATTTATGTTCTTAATATAATATAATAATAATAATTCAAATAAACTAATTGGAAACAATTTATTGAAAATAAAGAAAATCACTCGGCCTATTAGGCAAATCGGGCCTTGCATAGTAGGCCGAGAAGTGCGTTCTGGCTACTAGGTACGACATATATATATATATACAGTGTATATATATTCGTACCTAGTAGCCAGAACGCACTTCTCGGCCTACTATGCAAGGGCGATTTGCCTAATAGGCCGAGTGATTTTCGTTATTTTCAAAAAATGTTTCCAATTGGTTTATTTGAAATATTATTATTATATTATATTAAGAACATAAATTATTGACTTAGTTATGTTAGTTTAGGTTAGGTAAAATAGGATAGGTTAGGTTAGGTAGGTTTGGTTAGGTTCGGTCATTATATCTACGTTAGTTTTAACTCAAATTAAAAAAAATTAACACATACATCATGAAATGGATAGCTTTAGCATTTCATAAGAAAAAATTAGAAAAATATATAAATTCAAGAAAACTTATATTATTAGGCAAATTGGGCCTTGCATAATAGGCCAAGTATGATGTTCTATAGTTTATTTTAAATATCATTAATATATTATATTAAGAACATAAATTATTGATTTAGTTATGTTAGTTTAGGTTACGTTAAGATAGCTAGGTTAGGTTAGGTAGGGTTGGTTAGGTTCAGTCATATCTACATTAGTTTTAACTCAAATTTAAAAAAATTAGCTCATACCTACTGAAATGAATAGCTTTATCATGTCATAAGAAAAAAATTAGAAAAAATATTGAAATTCTGGAAAACTTGGCTTATTAGGCAAATTGGGTCTTGCTTAGTAGGCCAAGAACTGCATTCTGGCTACTAAGTACATTTATATATATATATATATATATATATATATATATATATATATATATATATATATATATATATATATATATATATATATATATATATATATATATATATATATATATATGTTGTACCTAGTAGCCAGAATGCACTTCTCAACCTAATATGCAAGGCCCAATTAGCCTAATGGGCCAAGTTTTCATGAATTAATTGTTTTTCGACTACCTAACCTAACCTAACTTTTTCGGCTACCTAACCTAACCTAACCTATAAAGATAGGTTAGGTTAGGTTAGGTTAGGTAGGGTTGGTTAGGGTCTGTCATATATCTACGTTAATTTTACCTCCAATAAAAAAAATTAACCTCATACATAATGAAATGGGTATCTTTATCATTTTATAAGAAAAAAAATTGAGAAAATATATTAATTCAGAAAAACTTGGCTTATTAGGCAAATCGGGCCTTGCATAGTAGGCTGAGAAGTGCGTTCTGGCTATTAGGTACGACATATATTATAATAATAATATATATATATCACTAAAAACTCTTTGACCCAGCCAGGATTCGAACCCATGCCGTCCAGGATCACCCCTAAACGAACACGGTACCATGACCACTGCACCAACGATCGTCTTATGATCGTCTTATTGATACACGGTACTGTGTACGTTTAGGGGTGATACTGGACGGCATGGGTTCGAATCCTTGCCGAGTCAAAGAGTTCTTAGTGATCTATGGCTTGCGTGTTCATGCAGCTTTCTCACATATATATATATATATATATATATATATATATATATATATATATATATATATATATATATATATATATATATATATATATAATATATGTATAATATATGTATAATATATATAATATATATTATATATAATATATATTATATATAATATATATTATATATTATATATAATATATATTATATATATATATATATATATATATATATATATATATATATATATATATATATATATATATGTATATGTGTATATATATATATATATATATATATATATAATCATTAGTTGTACCTAATAGCCAGAATGCACTACTTGGCCTAGTATGCAATGCCCGATTTGCTTAATAGACAGTGTTTTTCATTATTTTCAAAATTATTTTCAATTGATTTATTTGAATTAATATTATTATATTATATTAAGAACATGAATTACTGACTTAGTTATATTAGTTTAGGTTAGATTAGGTAGGTTTGGTCGTCTAAGTTTTAACTCAAATTAAAAAAAATATTTATAATATAATTGAAAACTTTAGACTTTCATAAGAATTTTTGTTAGAAAAAATATAGAACTAAGAAGATTCGACTTGCTAGGCAAACCAGGCCTTGCATAGTTGGCCAAGTAGTGTAATCTGGCTATTAGGTACTATATTATATATCTATATATTATATATACAGTATATATATGTTGAGTTCATTTTAAAATACAATTACAGATTTTTATATTTTATTAAAATTATATAATTATGGTCAACGCTAAAGGCACAGGAACCTTGTTAACCCCTTCCCAATTACCTAATTGGTTGAAAATCTACCTTTCAAAAATTGCTGCTACTCACATCTACTCCCAGATCAGCATATACTTGGATATTTTCTTGAGATAATAGCTAGTAAAGGCATAATTGTCATAAAAAGAGTTGATGCATTCAAGTACACAATCTTTATAAAGATTTAACATTGAGAATTTCATAGAAGCAAAGCACTTCATTTGTGGCGTGAAACAAAGGAAAAGTGTCAGTCAGAGAGAAATATCTGGCGGTATGGTCCTTCCTCAGTTTGAACTGCAGGTCAATGTTCCTCACTCAACTGACTAGGCTGAAAAATAACCTGATAGAAATATACTTATAAATTTATATATATTTCTGATTATGGATTTGTAAGTCTACTTGTCCTGCTTCTGTACTTTGTATACCAGAGGTTAAGAAATTTTTGTTGTATATGTTATGTATATGTATTATAGATGAATGAAGGACTTATTTGTACTAAACCCACCTTAGTAAGACTAGAGTATAGAACACACTCACACAGGGTAGCGGCATCTGCACCGATTTAAGCCGTGGCTTAAATGTGTGGCTTCATCGCTGTCCAAGTTTTCGATTTAAATATTTTTTGGTCAACATAAAATATATATATATATATATTATATATATATATATATATATGTGTGTGTGTGTATGTTTGTGTGTTTGTATGTTTATGTGTGTGTATGTTTGTGTGTGTGTGTGTGTACGTACGTACGTACGTACTCGCCTAGTTGTGCTTGCACAAGTTGAGTTTCGGTTCTTTGGTCCCGCTTCTCAACAGTCAATCAACTGGTATACAGATTCCTGAGCCTATTAGGCTCTATCATATCTACATTTGAAACTGTGTATGGAGTCTGCCTCAACCACATCACTGCCTAATGCATTCCATTTGTTAACTACTCTGACACTAAAAAGAGTTCTTTCTATGACTCATCTGGGTACTCAGTTTCTACCTGTCTTGTCCTTGTGCGTGTGCCCCCCCCCCCCCTCCCTGTTAAATAAATTGTCGATCTACCCTATCAATTCCTTTGAGAATCTTGTAAGTGTGTGTACATGTGTGTTTGTGATTGTGTGTGTGTGTGTATATGTGAGTGAGTTTGTGTGTTTGTAAAAATATTATAAAAACACGTGATTCAGTTATACGAAAATGACCACACAAAGGATAGAGTGAAAGGGGGGATAAAGAAACTTAATACTTTTGAAAGCTATAAATATTTTGTAAAAAATTGTCATCCCTTAGTAAGACTTATCGAGTAAGAGAACAGTATATAGCCCATAAAAGCACCTGAACAATAGTTGTGTGTGTTTGGATGGGTGATCAAGAGGGGAGGGGATGGGCGGTGATGGGAGTGGGTTAAGTAGCAGAGCCTGTGGTAGGTTCTGGTCTGATATGTAGCAGTCACAGCACCATCAGGGGCCCCGCCAGAGAATATCGTCTGCCCTCATGTACTATCCATCCTCCCCCAGGAGGTGCTGTCGTTAACTAATAGAGCATTGTCCCCTACATTTGTAAACACTTGACATCTTCCTAGATAATTCCGGTTCACTGGAGAGATACCACATAAATCAAGATGATCAACCATATTTCCAGATTTTTACACATATATTTATATATCAAGGTATTATTAAATATGGAAAATAAGTTTATATGAATTTAGAAACGTCAAATATCTCACAGATTCTGGGTGTTAATTTGATAGACGTTGCTCAGTGGAGGGTCCATCCTGGTTTACGGGTCTCGACTCGCAGGGAGGCACTGTAATTTTTGTTGTTAGAAATATTGAGAAAATATTCTGGGAAGTGTCTTGAGTTGGCACTTGAGAGTGGTGGGCACATATTCCAAGATACATCAAGGACTGACACTTAGGAGGGCAATGGTCATATCGAGGAGCAAAATGCGCATAGGTTTGGGTCAGCCCAGGATATTCTTCGGACAGTGTCTTGGATCACCCAGAAGTTGCAGAAATATACCCGGGAATAATGTGGACATAAGCCCGAGAATATCTTCAATGGACAACCAAGGGTATAAGCCACGTATTCAGGGGTGAAATGTGCACATACACTAGTATCGTAAATTTACACCATGTGTATGATTAGCATAAACCTGACAGTGTTGTGGACATGCACCTCGAGGGAAAGATAACGTTATTGAATACTCATTAATTCTTGGTTATTATGTTCGTTTTCCTACTTTCATAAGACATTATGCGCCAGGAACCATCTTCCCAATAGTAGGACTTAATTATAGTGAAAACTTCTCTGCTTGTAGATGTTGTTTTCCATCTGAAAGCAACCCATCTTTCCAGGACTACAGACGCATTTCACGGAGCTGCCACGTCCACCAGGGACGTTTGCCCCCATTAAGACCAAGTCTTCCACAGATGTGACAGTTGCCATCCATGTTGTGAGCCACAACCTTTGTGAAGGAACGTTCAAGTTTCTTCTACAATGATCGACTTCCTCCAGAGGGTGTTAGCATCCACCAGGGACAGCTGACAGCCTGATAAATATTGCCGACCTACGTTAGAAATTGTAGCAACCACAAGAAAATAACAGTTGTCCGGGTGTGTTGATTTCGAGCTAAGAGTATTCGTTCCCTTAAAAGAGTAATGTTTCTCGTTTTCGAAGTGTTACAACAACCTAGCAACATTATTGACGGATACAGTGAGGGGCATGGATAGGATAAGTCACCACTCTACAACGAGTCCAGTTATCCTATATGAAAAGTAGTCCCTAGGAAGTAAGCGTCGACCTTAGCAAAGAGTATGATGAGCACAGAGAAGTCTCACAAACTGCAAACGGTTGACAGAGCACAGAAGCTGCCCTGCCATAATTTGTCTTGTCTAATATCACATTATGCACTGAGTGATGGGAAGAGAGTAGAGGTTGTAGACATTGATGGGAGGAAGTGGTGGCGGGCAACCTGGCCACATAGCAGCCACTGAGTACCCATTATAGGTATTGTGGTGGATCGCAGGATTGGGAGGTGTTGGTAGAAATGATGGTGTAGTGGCGAGTATTGAAGCGGATAGGTTGCGGACATCAGCAGTAGCCTACAAACAACTGCGGTTGCTACTCTCACTTCTGCTGCTGCCCGCAGTTGGACGGCTTGACTTCACGCCTCCGATTTGGGCAATGACTGAGCACTCAGCGATCCCGGCGCGGGAGGCGACCGCTCTCCTGACATGATATTTACAGGAGTCGCTGGTGCTGTTAAAGCTGGTAGCGTTGGACTTAGCCCTGATCGAGGAAACAGTGGCGGCGCACTAGCTTGTGACTGCTGCTGTTGCCAGACACTTGAACTTCTTGGAGATTGACTTGCTGAGAGGACCGGATATCCGCCAGGTCGCGCTGCCATATCAGGATGGAGGGAGTTGGAGGAGGGGCCCGTGAGGCGCCGTTGGTCCAAGAGGTCTTGGTGTTTTTGCAGACACCGCGACAGGACATCCGGAAGAGCATCAAGTGACTCTTGGATGGAGGTAAGGCGTTCCTCCAGCGAGCTGACCCTTTCATCCAGCACGTCTTGACGCCCACTCATATCCGACACCAGCTCATACACGGTGTTCTGCGTCTGTGGGAGAAGAACAAGGCTATAGAATTACTGTGTTTGTAACCGGAAGGTCAATCATACATAATTGGTAATATTTTCCATCGAAATTTTCAACCAAGATATGTTGATAATGTGTGTGACTATGTGTTTGTACGTACCTATATGCTGTAATTGGATTGAGTATCAGCTACAAAATCCCGGGGTTGGAATTATTAACGGTATTATGCAATGACTACTAATTCACTTTTGCTTACATTTTTACAGATAAGTTTCGATTAACTTCGACCACCAATATCAAAAGTGCTTCATTTCTTTAGGCTTACATGGAATTTTTTATATTTCTTTGTCTTAATTTGCTGACTTTAAACACTGCTTCTTGCCTATTTTTTTTTAATTCAGAATAGTATACTGTATAGTTATAATGTCCCACGTGTTCTTTCTTCACAAGAGGTTCAGTTTCCTCATAGGTCAGTTCTCTCAATACATAAATACACATTGAACCATATCTTTAAAAGATTGTTTTGTTCAGTGTGTTTACATGTGTGGAATCTACCTGGGGTGTGTAACCCAGGTGTAGGTTGAACATAGGTTGTATAATGCACTCGGGAGGTTCCTTTCTTCAAATTCCTGAAAGTAATACAAACGTTGGCCAGCATTTACTGTCATATGGTTCTGTTTACTCTTGTTATTAAAATTATAACTTTTCATTGGTCCAGCAAACATTTTTCAAACCACCTGTGGAGTGTCTGGTTCACTTGGCGGAGTACTAGTCTTCCTATGTTGTGTTTTATTCCTTTAGTTCCCATTATTTTCAGACATTAATAAAAATTAATTTTTCTTTTAGGTCGATGCCGTATATGAGGAACAGGATTGGCCACGAGTATCTATTTTAATAGTACTCCACTCGTTCATTCTTTGCACTCCTCTTTCTCTAGAAAGCCTTTAGGGTTCTTGAGGCTTCCAATGATAGAACTCCGAGAACACCGCCATAGTGCATGGGGGCAATGCATGAAACCCTGATTGGGCTTCAGTAGAAGTAAGCAATTATCAAAAGAAGGCACCAAACCAGGAAGGCTACGTGCTTCAGTAGAAGCCTCAATTCCCTAGAGGATTCAGTCGAATCCCAGGTTGCGTTACTTTAGACCATGTTGTGGTGTAGTGGTCTAGGGCGTGTGCTTGTGACTACCAAGCGTGCAGGTCCGAATTCGCCTCATGGCTCCTGCTGATTTTCTCATTGATTCATCACGTTAATGTCATTTCATTGAGCAATTATATTAAAATTTAGTACGTCACATACTTCCTTGCCAAGGTCTGTGAATCCATCCAATCTCTCTGCTCCCCTTTTTTCTGTCTGTCTTTTGTTGCGTAAGTACAGAGGCTTAGGTGTTTTTTTTTTTTATCTTGGATGATACATCATCTACATTTTTGCTTCACTTAGTTTTCCTAGAAATACGTTGTCCTTCCTAACCAACCAACCTCTCTCTCTCATGTAGTGTTTGTGGCTCTTTTGTTCTGATTTATCTACATCTTTTTCTTCTTCCATTCTTAGTATTACCTTTTGTCTCTAGGCCCAGTAAATGGTCCCTGTTGAACCGCTGACTGATTTTGTTCCTTATTTCTTTGAGGTCTTACAAGGATAATTTCCGTATGTTTAAAACCTGGTCTTCCTCGGTCTCTGTTGCAAGAATTGTCTCTTTATTCCGGTCCGCATGGCCTTACATTTTTCTGGGTTAAACTCTACTTAGTACTTTTCAGACTACTTCTGAAACGTGCCCAGCTCCGTTTAAAGGTATTACAACCTCTGTTAGTCCAAACTCCTCTCATTAGTTTTGTATCATCTGCAAACATTGATATGATATTGCACTCCATTTGTAACGTTTCGCCACTCTCACTGTTATCCTTCATTTCCTTACTGAAAGGTACTTTTGCATCCAATTTAGGACTCTCCCAATATATCAGTCTGTCTCGATCGTTGTGATAGTCTCATGTGTGGCACGAGGAATACACAGTCTGCCCATTCTTTTCTCTTTTGTGTGGTCTCGGTCAATTTATTGAAGAATTCCAACAAGTTAGTCAAGCTTAATTTCTCTTGGCTAAAACTGTGTCGGTATTTTGTAACGATATATAGCTGTTCTTAATTAATGTCACACGAGTCTGCCACGGATCTCTCTCTCTAATTACTTGCAGTGTGTGTGTTAGTGATACTTGTCTATAGTTCAGTGGTTTTTTATTACTTCTTTGTTTACATATTGGCACATTATTCGTTTTCCAGCAGCCTGGAAGTTCTCCGATTTCCAGAGAAAAATAAAATACTATAGCAAGGGAAGTGCATAGTGCCTATGCTGCCTCATTTAGTAGCCACTGCGATATATTCTCACATCCAGTTTCTGTAGTTGCTGTCTTATTTCTTATATGTCACCCATTTTAATAAGTCAGGTCTTTAGAGGTATTCGTAGAAATAGGGCATTTAGCTATAGTGGCGGATCAGGTTCCAGCTTGAAGACGTCTTGGAAACTTGTGTTAAGTTCTTCACATACATCCTTATCATTTTCTCTCTCTCTCCTCCCGTTAAGTCTGATCACGTGTGTGTCGTGAAGGGTCCACAGGTGTACCACGATACACTGGTGTGTCGTGAAGGGTCCACAGGTGTACCACGATACACTGGTGTGTCGTGAAGGGTCCACAGGTGTACCACGATACACTGGTGTGTCGTGAAGGGTCCACAGGTGTACCACGATACACTGGTGTGTCCTGAAGGGTCCACAGGTGTACCACGATACACTGGTGTGTCGTGAAGGGTCCACAGGTGTACCACGATACACTGGTGTGTCGTGAAGGGTCCACAGGTGTACCACGATACACTGGTGTGTCGTGAAGGGTCCACAGGTGTACCACGATACACTGGTGTGTCGTGAAGGGTCCACAGGTGTACCACGATACACTGGTGTGTCGTGAAGGGTCCACAGGTGTACCACGATACACTGGTGTGTCGTGAAGGGTCCACAGGTGTACCACGATACACTGGTGTGTCGTGAAGGGTCCACAGGTGTACCACGATACACTGGTGTGTCGTGAAGGGTCCACAGGTGTACCACGATACACTGGTGTGTCGTGAAGGGTCCACAGGTGTACCACGACACACTGATGTGTCTGAAGGGAACAAGGCCAAGGAGAGACATAGTGTGTTGGACATGCGGGAAGAAAGGACGCGTGTCTGCTAAGTGTAAGAAAGGACGCGTGTCTGCTAAGTGTAAGAGCAGGTCAGATAACAACCCGCATCTGGACGTTATACTGGTGAGTTGTGTGACACCACCAGTAGAAACCCGCTCGCTATGAACATATAAGAGGGAGAAACCAGGATTGTTTGCACCATACACTTCGAAAAGGTATGTATAGAGTGACCAGTGTGGTAGGACAGATATAGTGCAGCAGCCCAATATCTAATTTTAAAGAGCTCGTTACCCAAGGAAGTGTCAACTGATGGGAAGCAAAGTGTCGTTTTAGGTGGATTACCTGCCACTTTGTGTGTAGCCCCTTTTAATAGTTCACTTGAAATCGCCATATTTTAAAGGCAGGTTAGGTTCACTATCAGTAGTAGAGCATATTCCTATAGAAGGAATAGAGGTAATACTGGCCATTGGCTTAACTTTGGGTTTGGACAATAACCATCCCATAGTTGTTGCGGATTCTTTAACAGATTTAATAATAATTCATTGTGTCGGGGGACATGAAATACAGTACATGGTTATCCATACAGTACATGTTAGGCTTATACCAAGGTCTCCCCCCCCCCACCCTTCCCCCCCATGGTCGAGTACTGACCGCGCTCAGGATGCAGCCCACAACATGCTGACTAACTCCTGCGTACCTATTTAGGTCTATCATTAAGTGTAACAAGCCTATTACAGCATATGATACCACAGTGGAATATAATCTCACGGGTGAACTTGATGTCACAGGACAAAATCTTGTCACAGAAGCATATATCACAGGGAACATTATATCGTAAGGCAACATGAGGTCACAGCTAAAATTGCATCACAGGTGAACATGATATTACAGAGGAACATGATGTCATGGTAGCAAATGATGTCACACAGGAACATAATGTCACAGGAGAATACGATGTAACAGAAGGAACATGATGTTACAAGATAAAATTATTTACATAATTTATACAGGGGAACTTTACGTCACATGAGAACATGATGCCACATGACGTCACATGAGAACATGGCGTCACATGAGAACATGGCGTCACATGAGAACATGGCGTCACACGAGAACATGGCGTCACATGAGAACATGGCGTCACATGAGAACATGGCGTCACACGAGAACATGGCGTCACATGAGAACATGGCGTCACATGAGAACATGGCGTCACACGAGAACATGGCGTCACATGAGAACATGGCGTCACATGAGAACATGGCGTCACATGAGAACATGGCGTCACATGAGAACATGGCGTCACATGAGAACATGGCGTCACATGAGAACATGGCGTCACATGAGAACATGGCGTCACATGAGAACATGGCGTCACACGAGAACATGGCGTCACATGAGAACATGGCTTCACATGAGAACATGGCGTCACATGAGAACATGGCGTCACATGAGAACATGGCGTCACATGAGAACATGGCGTCACATGAGAACATGGCGTCACATGAGAACATGGCGTCACATGAGAACATGGCGTCACATGAGAACATGGCGTCACATGAGAACATGGCGTCACATGAGAACATGGCGTCACAAAAGCACAGGGAGTAAAACTGTCAAGTGACTCGTGAATAAAAGATTTCTATAATTGTATAAAGTAGGAGGTACTGGTTTACCTTAGCCATGTCGGTAATGGTGTTAGCATTGTCCATGAGTTTCCTTTGATCCATCTTCACCTTTCTCAGCCTGCAAGAATAAAGTAATGTAAGGTAGGGGAAACAATCGAAAGTATTGTTCAGTGAACTACTGCACTTAGCCAAATAAACTATTACACGCATACTCTTGAACAGAAAAACACACGAAATCCTATCTGCGTAATTATGAACAATCGAATTGTTTTGGAATGCGCTCAATGCACTAAAGACGTAGGCATATGAAGCTTTCATGTTGTTGTTGTTATAGATTCAGCTACTTGGAACAAGTTCCAAGTAGCACGGGCTATAGTGAGCCCGTAACTTACCTGGCACAGGAGCGGGGCAAGAAGCACGGGCTATGGTTAGCCTCGTGTACGGGAGATATCTCCCGTGAAGCTTTCATGCAGAAACAGACATTTATAGCGAAGGTTCACCTCCATACGGTTCACATCACCCTACGGTTCACCTAACCACCTTGATCGCAGAGCTCAAAAAAATGGCGTGAGGTGATTGCTGCCTTACTCCATCAATTAGTTGTCTCCCGGGTCTGCTATCTTCCTTCTGGATCTTAGGAGGACCGTCTAATAATTGTAGACTTGAAGCCGAATTCACCTGAATGTTGATTACCGGTGTGAGCTCCCGAATGAACACCCCCCCCCCCCCCCCAAGTATATAGAACCTCCAACAATTGTTGGTGTGATTAGTGTGGTGTCCTAAACTATGCCCTGGCAATTCAGAATGGTCTTAAAAGTGATATTGCTTAATGCCTCCTTCCAAAGGAAGTGTAAGACGTCTCCTCAATGTATATATGGTATGTCCAATATAGCATACATTTCGGAGCACACAGTCTCTAGCATTGCTCTTGAATGAAAGGGAGATGGGGGGATATACTACACTGGTACACATCAGTTTATCAGAGGAAACAAATTATATTACTCATAATGAGGGAAACCGTATGAGGATTGGTATAACAAATGATAAGATGAATCACTGCATTTTAACTGCCTGGTTTAACATTCTTGACAGGGAGGAGACAGGGAGTGTGTGTGTGTGTGTGTGTGTGTGTGTGTGTGTGTGTGTGTGTGTGTGTGTGTGTGTGTGTGTGTGTGTGTGGTGGGAGATAGGGAGGGTGTGTGTGTGTGTGGTGGGAGATAGGGAGGGTGTGTGTGTGTGGTGGGAGATAGGGAGGGTGTGTGTGTGTGGTGGGAGACAGGGAGGGTGTGTGTGTGTGGTGGGAGACAGGGAGGGTGTGTGTGTGTGGTGGGAGACAGGGAGGGTGTGTGTGTGTGGTGGGAGACAGGGAGAGTGTGTGTGTGTGGTGGGAGACAGGGAGGGTGTGTGTGTGTGGTGGGAGACAGGGAGGGTGTGTGTGTGTGTGGTGGGAGACAGGGAGGGTGTGTGTGTGTGTGGTGGGAGAGAGGGAGGGTGTGTGTGTGTGTGGTGGGAGATAGGGAGGGTGTGTGTGTGTGGTGGGAGATAGGGAGGGTGTGTGTGTGTGGTGGGAGATAGGGAGGGTGTGTGTGTGTGGTGGGAGATAGGGAGGGTGTGTGTGTGTGGTGGGAGATAGGGAGGGTGTGTGTGTGTGGTGGGAGATAGGGAGGGTGTGTGTGTGTGGTGGGAGATAGGGAGGGTGTGTGTGTGTGGTGGGAGATAGGGAGGGTGTGTGTGTGTGGTGGGAGATAGGGAGGGTGTGTGTGTGTGGTGGGAGATAGGGAGGGTGTGTGTGTGTGGTGGGAGATAGGGAGGGTGTGTGTGTGTGTGGTGGGAGATAGGGAGGGTGTGTGTGTGTGTGTGGTGGGAGATAGGGAGGGTGTGTGTGTGTGTGGTGGGAGATAGGGAGGGTGTGTGTGTGTGTGGTGGGAGACAGAGAGGGTGTGTGTGTGTGGTGGGAGACAGAGAGGGTGTGTGTGTGTGTGGTGGGAGACAGAGAGGGTGTGTGTGTGTGGTGGGAGACAGAAAGGGTGTGTGTGTGGTGGGAGACAGGGAGGGTGTGTGTGTGTGTGGTGGGAGACAGGGAGGGTGTGTGTGTGTGTGGTGGGAGACAGAGAGGGTGTGTGTGTGTGTGGTGGGAGATAGGGAGGGTGTGTGTGTGTGGTGGGAGACAGAGAGGGTGTGTGTGTGTGTGTGGTGGGAGACAGAGAGGGTGTGTGTGTGTGGTGGGAGACAGAGAGGGTGTGTGTGTGTGTGGTGGGAGACAGAGAGGGTGTGTGTGTGTGTGGTGGGAGACAGAGAGGGTGTGTGTGTGGTGGGAGACAGGGAGGGTGTGTGTGTGTGGTGGGAGACAGGGAGGGTGTGTGTGTGTGGTGGGAGACAGGGAGGGTGTGTGTGTGTGGTGGGAGACAGGGAGGGTGTGTGTGTGTGTGTGGTGGGAGACAGAGAGGGTGTGTGTGTGTGTGGTGGGAGACAGAGAGGGTGTGTGTGTGTGGTGGGAGACAGAGAGGGTGTGTGTGTGGTGGGAGACAGGGAGGGTGTGTGTGTGTGGTGGGAGACAGGGAGGGTGTGTGTGTGGTGGGAGACAGGGAGGGTGTGTGTGTGTGTGGTGGGAGACAGAGAGGGTGTGTGTGTGGTGGGAGACAGAGAGGGTGTGTGTGTGTGGTGGGAGACAGGGAGGGTGTGTGTGTGTGGTGGGAGACAGGGAGGGTGTGTGTGTGTGGTGGGAGACAGGGAGGGTGTGTGTGTGTGGTGGGAGAGAGGGAGGGTGTGTGTGTGTGGTGGGAGACAGGGAGGGTGTGTGTGTGTGTGGTGGGAGATAGGGAGGGTGTGTGTGTGTGGTGGGAGATAGGGAGGGTGTGTGTGTGTGGTGTGAGACACGGAGGGTGTGTGTGTGTGGTGGGAGACACGGAGGGTGTGTGTGTGTGGTGGGAGACAGGGAGGGTGTGTGTGTGTGGTGGGAGACAGGGAGGGTGTGTGTGTGTGGTGGGAGACAGGGAGGGTGTGTGTGTGTGGTGGGAGACAGGGAGGGTGTGTGTGTGTGTGGTGGGAGACAGGGAGGGTGTATCTTGTACCCCTGGGTATACACCCTGCAAAAGGTAGGTGAAGCTGACCCCAAACATTTGGCCTCTAACGTTGAACAAGTAAGCAGACATTCTCTCTCTCTCTCTCTCTCTCTCTCTCTCTCTCTCTCTCTCTCTTATAGATGCAGAATGAAACTGTTCATTATTTATACATTTTAGTGTCATAGAATTATTTGAAGCTTATAATTTGATTAATCATTATTATTGTTGTAATCTGGATCTTATAATGTTATTCTTGTGTTGTTATTAATTATGAATTTGAAAAAGGTGAATTAAGGCTGCATTATTTTGCTCTTGTTGTAAGACCTTGTTTTGTTTGGTGAAAGTGTTCTAGTCCTGTCAGTGTTCAGCGAGAATTACTCAAGTCAGTCGGTGATAAAGGATCAGTGATTAATTCACGATTCCTTCAGCTCATTATCTCCTTTTCGGCATCTTCAGAAACTCTAATCATTTCATAGTCAATTAACAGTGCCAGACAAGCATCATCCAGTCTTTCCTGTCCATCGTCAGTCAGTCTTACATTGGTAAGACTGACACAACAACATTACTAGTCATTCCTGCTGGTAATATATAAAAAAAATTGCCAAAAACATCATTAGTCAATCTCACCAGTTCATAATCATTCATTCTCTCCTGAACGGAATCGCTCAGTATTATGGGAACATCATCAAACAATATTCTCAGTACGACAGCAGGCAACCTAGTCTTAGTCAGTCGTACCAGAACAACAACAATCAGTCTTACCAACAAAGCATCAACCCTGATTGTATTGCATCAGTTTCACCTGCGTAGCATCACAATCCTGATGGTACAAAATCAATCTTACTTGTACAGTACCAATCCTATTATTACAGCATCATTTAATCTTGTTGTACAGCATCATGATATTATTGTACAGCATCATCCTTGCTAATACATCAGTCATCTTATCTGTACACAACAACATTCTCTCAGTACAGCATCAACTCTACTGTTGCAGCATTAGTTAATCTAACCTGTACAGCATCACAATCTTAAACTACAGTATCATCCCTACTAGTACGTCATCAATCAATCTTACAGTACAGCATCACGGTCTTATAGTAAAGCCTCAACCCTCCTAGTATATCATTAGTCAATCTTAACTATTAAGCGGTAAGTACATACGCGTAAATAGCAAGCAGGAACTTGCGCTGATGAGTGCGGACGCGACCATGGTTGACTTTTTTGACCAGCTTGGTGTGCTTGTAGATGAGCCAAGTCTCTCTTAACACGTTCGCTGCAGAGTTTTTTAACTGTTGAGAAAACAAAATTAGCATACCTCTTTCCTTCTGTATAAGAATGATGTTATTCGACTTGTATTGGCTAAAATCCATGTGGAAAAATAATATGCGCGTTAGAATTTGTATAATGTATTTGCCATGAACGCTACTTCTAGCATATAATGAATGGAAGGAAATATTAAGTACGGAACACACACACTCGCAGTGGTGCGTGTGTGGAGGTGTGGAGTACCTCAAGGATCGGTGCTGGGACCAATTCTATTTCTAATATATGTTAACGACATGTTTACAGGTGTAGAGTCCTACATGTCGATGTTCGCGGATGACGCAAAGTTGACGAGAAGAGTTGTGATAGATGAGGAGTGCAGGATTCTCCAAGAGGACTTGAACAAATTGCAGAGATGGTCAGATAAATGGCTACTGGAGTTCAACACGAGCAAATGTTAAGTTATGGAGATGGGATTAGGCGATAGGAGACCAAAGGGACAGTACACAATGAAGGGAAACTACCTACCTGTGACGATTGGAGAAAGAGACCTGGGAGACGTAACACCTAATCTAACTCCTGAGGCACATATAAATAGGATAACGACAGCAGCGTACTCTACGTTGGCAAAAGTTAGAACATCATTAAGAAACTTAAGTAAGGAGGCATTTAGAGCACTTTGTACTGCCTACGTGAGAAGAGTCTTAGAGTATGCCGCCTCATCATAGAGTCCCCACCGGAAGAAACACATGGGGAAACTGAAAAAGGTTCAGAAGTTTGCAACGAGGCTTGTCCCAGAGTTACGAGGGATGGGATATGAAGAGCGCCCGAAAGAACTGAACCTGATGACACTAAACAAAAGAAAGGAGATGATCAAATCCACAAGGGCATGATGAAGATTCGAACCTGCGTCCGCCTCGACCATCGGGAACTACGTATTGGTGTTACCCCTGCGCCTTGCCGCCCTATTTCCACCAAACACCGGTGTATCTGCAGCTATGCATCGGGTGACTAATACGGAAGCCATGGTCTCATCTGTCGTAAGTCACCGGGAAAGATTGCCAGACATGAAGCAGTCAATGCCATCATCAAGAGAAAAAAGTTACAGCTGAGTGTTATCAGAGGGGGAGGGGAGGCCAAAAAGTTTATATAAGCGACCTCCAATAAAATAATATAGACAAAATAATTATCCCTGCTACAACTTACACCAATGGAGCACACACTGGAGAATCACCCTGTAATCTTACCTATAGAGAAGGGGCTCAACGTCACCTTATTTGGGGATTCGGGTCAAATCTGGCCAGTGTCATGAGTACACACCCCGCTGAGCCACCATGACTTACCCATCACTCCTCGCTTTGGGATAACCTCCTTGCAGTTCTCCTTTATGATATTATGTCTGCTGTCGACTGACCTGCAACTCACTCTCTCTTTCTTTAGAAATTCTCACCAGGACAAGTGCAAAGACATGTTGTCTACAAACATTTATTACAAAATTACAACGAATAAAGATATAACAGCATATTATCTTCAGCTTCAACAAACAAGCATGACGCTAAAATAATACCAATGCTCCAACAAATAAAGTACACTAGGATGCTGCTATTATTCAGCAACCTCCTGCCCCCTCCCACAGTCTGGGCTAGGCAAATTTCATATAATTTAACTCAAACAAGAAAATATTAACGTTCTCACCTTGTACTGCGTCATTCATAGCATATGAATTCATGCACTCCCTCAAACAATAATGATGTTCATATAACTCACTGTATTACATCCTGAAAATCCTTATCAGGTCCATCTATCCATAGGTCATCGAATTAAGTAGATACTCTTGAAGCGCTCATGTCACGGCTTCCTTCATTAGCGACAACTCCTGTTCATCAGGTACCACTACTTCCTGAAGTTCCACCATAAACATGCAGTTCCACTACACAGGCTTCTTCATACACGTGAAGGTCCTCTATACAGGCTTCACAATACACATGTAGTTCCACTACACAAGCATCTTCATACACATTGAGTTCCACTACACAAATTCCATCATGTACGTGTAATTCCGCTGTACAAACCACAAAAGCATGGTGTGACGACGCCCCAAATATGGTGCTATACCTAGTCGTCCACAAATTTCTCTTGGACGTGCCACTACTGGCTCCTACCCTTCCAGACTTGAGCGTGATAAGTTGCGTAACAGATTGCCACACAAGAATACCGTCCCAATTTATCCATTTAAAGGATTTTCACATAGTAGGACCAATAAACGAACGACAACCCACTAGGCACACAGATTTGTTCAACCCAATAGGCTTCAGGCCGCCCCTATATAGTTACGATGATAACAAAGATACGTTACACGTCGTCCTCAAACAGCATCCTCACAACGTTGATCCTATAGCTTTCTCTCAATCATTTCACCATGAGCTACAAACTTCCTTCTTTACAGGAGGCAATAACGTACGTCTGTCCTCGTCGACTCTCACGACTTAAGTAACTCTTTAAGACCTCTGTCAACGTCACGTCTTAACATATTGTCGACATCTCATTTTACCTCGTTTCCTTAAGATGCTTTAATATAGTCAGGTACGAAATGACTCTCACAAGGCAGACCTACCTCATTAGGCTACCTGGGGGTATATAACAGTGTCCAGCACAAAGGGAACTTCAGTTGTGCTGACCTGACAACAGTCACAAACGCTCACATGGAGTCACCCTGCAGCAACGGAGATGCTGCAGGGTGACTGCAGGTAATATTTGGGTGTTGGAAATTTCCAACACTCAAATACTAACCCCTAGTGTGATAATATCAATTTATTGTACTAGGAACTCACATTTACTAACATTACTAACAAGTAGCCTAATACAGCCAAATTCCTACTAATATCGTAGGAATTGGTTATCAAATGTGCGGAGGAAGACGGCCACGAGGACACACAACTCTTAAGAGTACGCAGTTTGTTTAGAGTAACAGAAGACCAACAAGCCTGCCAACGAGTAAGGACAGAGGAATGGATAACTGGATAAAAGTTCGAATAAGAAATACTTTTATGGGATATGGGAAAAGTGCAGATAGCTTCCTTAGCGGCAGCATCCACATGCTCATTTAAAGACACACCTATATTACTGGAAACCCAGCAAAACTCAACTGTCTTAAATCTACTGGTGATCAGAAACAGCCAATGTTGAATCTCGACTACCACCGGATGGACTGGATTAAATAACTCCAGAACCATGAGGGCACTGCGAGAGTCAACTACAACCACAAAGGAGGATTGACAACGAGAAAGCAGGAGACGAAGAGCAAAGAGAACAGCATAAAGTTCTGCTGAGAAGACGGTCGGAAGGGACGGTCGAAAAACAAGACACACATTCGTCCTGGAAGTCAGGACATTCAATAAAGCACGACTGTATGAGGGACAATAAGGAGCAGGGTGGCGCTCCATTAAGTGACTGAGTTAACGTGTATGACCAATACGCACCTGTGCCAGAGCCGTTTCCCACCACCGATTACGGTGGTAAAAGGAAGGCCACGGGGACACACTACCCTTAAGAGTAAGCAGTTTGTTACCAACAACAGAAGACCAACAACCCTGCCAAAGGGCAAGGATGGAGGAATGTTTAACTGGGGAAGGAATACCTTTGCGGGAGATGGGACAAGAGTGGATAGCTTCTCTAGCGGCAGCATCCGCACACTCATTTTGTAGACACCAATATGGCTGGGAACCCAGCAAAACTCTACCGACTTAAATTTACTGGAGATAAGAAACAGCCAATGTTGAATCTTGACTACAAAATGGACAGGGTTGAAGGAATTCAGAGCCATGAGGGCACTACAAGAGTCAATTACAACCACAAAGGAGGACTGACAGTGAGAAAGCAGGAGACAAAGAGCAGAAAGAATAGGAATAGCATAAAGTTCTGCCATGAAGATACTAGTCTCCGGGGGCAGGCGACACACAAGTGTGGTCAGGAAAAACAACACAGTAGCCTACACCGTCTGCAGACTTAGACCCATCAGTGAGGATTGAAATGGAGTGGGAGTGAAGAAAAGTGTTCAATTAAAGGCGTTTCAGAACCGTGGGAGGGGTAAAAGCTTTAGTGATGCGGGTCATGGTTTTACAAAATTTCAGTAGGGGGACCCTCCACGGGGGCAAGGACAGAACAACTCGAGAAGAAATATTGGTAATATGAACCAAAAGAGAATCTTGCAGGAGACAATCGGACAGGAGGAGGAAAGTGGTAAAGGGGTAACCGGAACTACAGGAAGGGTAAAATTCAAAGCACGAAAAAGGTGAGAGTGAGGATATAGAAAGGACAGTGCAAGATAGCGAAAACAGTAGCGATCACGGCAGTCTTAAAGAGAGGGGATGCCAGTGTCAACATACAAGCTGAGGGTAGGAGTCGAACAAAAGGCACCAGAGCAGAGGCATAACCCAGTATGGTGCAAAGCATCTAGACGGCGAAGAGTAGAAGCAGACGAGTTGGAAGGGAAACCATAATCGAGTTTAGAGAGTACGAGAGAGGAATGTAAAGAGGAGCGTGCGCCTATCTGCTCCCCAAGAAGTATGGGACAAAACCTTAAGGAGGTTAAGGGCTTTAGAGAATTCAATGTGAAGGTAAGAGATACGAGTGTCAAAGATTAACGAGTGTCAAAGATTAACCCCAAAAGCTTATCTGCTCCCATGAAGCATGTGACAAAACCTTAAGGAGGTTAAAGGCTTTAGAGAATTCAATGTGAAGGTAAGAGATATGAGTGTCAAAGATTAACCCCAAAAGCTTAGGGGAATCCTTGTACACAAGGGGATGAACATAAAGCGACAAAGAGGGACGTAGAATGACATGCTTCCGAGTAAAAAGTCATAGCACAAGTCTTAGTTGCTGAGAACTTGAAGCCATAACTGGTGGCCCAACACGACACGGCATCAATCGCAAGTTGAAGCCGCCATTGAAGGAAAGGCGAATAATCACCTCTACGGCAAAGGGGAAGTTCGTCGACATAGAGCACGGAGAAGACGCCAGAAGAAAG